AAATTAAGCTAAGGAACTAGCTCCCTTGACCAATCAACTAAGGATTGCATAAGATACTCCCCCGGAATTTAACCCGGATGGCAAAATAACAACCAAATCAAAGTGCTAAATCGAAGTTTGAGGCTAGCCCTAAATTTCCCTGGATGGGTGACTCAAATGGCCAAGAAATCCAGCTTCTCAAAAGCCTCAAGCAAAAAGGCTTCTCTCCACCTAGGTCAATTTGGCATGGTTATGAGAAATGCAGAACACAACTCAAGAATTCCGAAAATGCCTCAAAATTTGAATTAAACACAAATCCATACACATATCATTCAGTCCGTACAATTTGTCACATGTCTAAAGCTAGGGTTTACAATACCCAAGTGAAAAAGAGCACTACTTCATAGCTAAGAGGAAGAATCATGGTGTGGTGTTTGACTTCCTTCCTTGGTGTTGGAATCACCCTTGGAAGAAGAAAATCCCCAATCCTCAAGCTTGGAGCAAACCCTAGACCTCTTCTTCTCTCTTGGTTCATCAGTTTCTCTCTCTAAAATAAGAAGAAGAAGAAGAAGAAGAAGAAGAAGAAGAAGAAGAAGAAGAAGAAGAAGACAATCTCTCACTGGGCTCTCCCTTCAAGTTTCAGCTCCATCCTCCTTTTATTCCCAGACCGCATACACATCACGGTCAAATATCACAGGCATGAATAGGAAGATCGGACCGTGATCTCGGATAAAAGCGCACCATTTCATTTATGACATTCACAGTCTGGATGGGATTATCATGGTCTGGTACCATGATAAATTTTAGGCCTGCGAGGCGTAAAAACTCTTCTGGACGCTAGGCACATCACGTTCTTGCCCTCATCTTCACAGTCGGCTGACTGCGATAATGTTGCTCTAACTGTGATCTTCCTCTTTTTGCCCCCTTCGATCTGCTTTCACCCTCTTTCGTTCAACTTTCGCTTCCAAGGCTAATCTCACCTGCTAGAACCTAAAACATGCTGAAAACATGCACAACCTAGCATAAAAGTGGACCACAAGCGATATAAAAGCCTCAAACACCACAAGGACATGGGGTGAAAACATGTGCAATTTGACCCTAATTACTCCCCCACACTTGGATGTTTGCTTGTCCCCAAGCAAACCAATCTCAAACAAGGTAATATCTCAACCGAAAACAATGACTTTGGGACATATCAAAGGGTTCAAAGAGAATGAATCCCAATGGCTATTAGGCATCAACACATGGACAATCACAAGCAATACCGGCAACCACCACAAATGACATTCGAATGCATTAAGAACGTGCAAACGAAAAGTTTCACCCTGTTCACAAACCAACACATGACTTGAGAAAACTACTCGAAAACCACAACTATCCATGCATAGATATCAAGCCCTAAGAATCAATGAATGATCGAGCTAGGTCCTTACCAGGATGTATGATATGAACATGAAAATGTGAATGAATCACTCACTCTCGACCAGTGGGGCCAGGACCATTTGATACAAAAGATGTGCATAATCAACAGTCAACCCTATTGTCTCTTCACCATGACGGTAACCTCTAAATGTTAGAGCTCACAAAATGGTTGTCGTGGCTAGCTTGTCTGGAGATCTAAGACACGGGTTCAGATTACTGGCTAGGTCTTGGACATGAGGAAAAGGCTTTCTGGGTGGTGGCAAACATAGCATGAGGTTCCACATCTTCAACCTACAACCAACAAAAGGTTCTATGGTTTTGACTATAACATTTTCCTACAAGCAATGGCCACTAGCATGGGACAAAAACCACACTTCCTCAATTTTAAATCACAAACCAATCATGAACGACATTCAAGCGCACTTTCTCGACTACACCTGCTATCCACTTTTCAAGCATAGTAGCGAAGGAGGTCAACAACAAAGTAGGTGTTTTGATAGCTTGGATGCTAAGAAACACCTTTCTTGAGAATACACATCAACTTTGTGGCAACTCACTATTTTTTATTTACCCCTTCTTTTACCTCTTTTTCGCTTATTTTTCTTCCTTTCCTTTTTCTTTTTTATCCGAAGGGTACTAGAGAGCTAAACACATGCCACATTTTGGATATATCGAACAATGACTATTAAAAACTTCCTCCAACACTAACTTTTCATTCTTAGCAGGAAACAATGCAAAAATCACCAATGTAGAACCTCAATGGAACTCAAGTAATGGGAGCTCCAAGACACAAGGATGACTCACAACGGTTTAGACACAAAGAAACAAAGGGACGCTCTATCAATCTCAATTAAGCTCAAGTATCAAAAGCTCATAAAATGAGAACGACCCTAACCCTCTGTTTCTGAAGGAAGGGAGGAAAAGAAAGGGAGGTGAAGGAAAATTAGGAGGGGAGGGGAGAGTTGGAGGTGAGGAAATTGGAAGAAAAATGTTGTTTTATGAAGGAAAGTGAGAAGAAAAGTGTGTATTGGGAAGTGTGATGAATATGTTATTTTATTGGGAAGTGCGAGTTAAATTTGTACTTTCTTTCCTAAATCGCACCAAAAATTGTACCGAAAAAATTAGTGGTAGGATATTTTGTTTTAAAATCGTGATTTAACCACATCGATTATTTTATACTTTTAAAATCGCTTATCGGTTTAGACTCGGGTAGGATAGGAGGTTTTTCCAGCCTAATTGTCGATGGTATGGTTTTAACCGGTGTTAAGTCGTTTGCGAAACCACTAATGAACAGGTGATTAATAAACAAAAATATTATAAATAGAGAATTTATAATAATTGCTCAAGCATTCTAAATCAATTAAAAATTATTCATCATATATTATACAATGTTAAAGAATCACAACTGTATCGGCCGGTTGGACCAGAAATATTGGATATCGGTCCCATAACAGCAGGCGATTTTAGAGGTAGAAAATAGTTGAACTATAGTTAAAACACGATTTTAGTACAAAATACCCTACTTTTCCGGTATAACCTTTTATATGGTCTCTATTAAGTTCATTACTTATGAATTGTGAACCAACCTATTATTAAATTTTTTATCACTATTTTATTGATTAATTAACATATCAACTAAATTCATAAATATACAACAAATTACACTATTTAGTCTTCAATCTCAATAAAAAGTTAGGCCTTAATCAACGCAATGTCCATCTCCTTGGTCCAACTAAGGTTCTCCTTGGTCGATGTCTCCCCTCAAAAGCCTGCTTACATTTGGCACTTTTGCTCATTTTACCTCATTAATAAATAAAAAATAGAACATTACCCATAACAATTTGACATAAATAATGGCAAAACATAGAACATTAGCCATCACAAGCCCATTAATAACAAGGGAACTGACTAATTTGCTAAACACAATCGTTGGCTTCTGCTCACTACTCTGCAGATGGGAAAAAAGCCAAAAATCCAAAATTAATTAGGAGTGCAAGATTAGCGGTGAATAGGATGAAAGCTTGGATAGATTATGAGAGAGAAGGTATATTAATGGCTTTCTCTGTTAGTCTGTTTCCAGTTTGTTAGAGAGAACTTAGAAGACAACAGCGAAGAGAGAGGAGAGAGAAAAGGAGTGGCAAATAAAAAAGAGAACGCGAGAAGGATTAATTGGCCTAGTAAATAAAAAAAGGAAATGAAAAGGTTTCGTGGCTCTTTTTCTCTCCCTTCTCCCTCGGTCCCTCCCTCTGTTGCTGTGCACTCTTTCGGGAACGGGGGAAAAGAGAACGCGAAAAGGATTAATTGGCCTAGTAAATAAAAAAAGGAAATGAAAAGGTTTCGTGGCTCTTTTTCTCTCCCATCTCCCTCCCTCTGTTGCTGTGCACTCTTTCGGGAACGGGGGGAAATTTATTGGAAACCCCACTTTTCTTCCTAATCTTTCCCTTCCCTCCTTTTCTACTCTAAAAAAACACAGGGTAAGTCACACAGCTCAAAGTTTTTTTTTATAGCATTTTTTGTTTGTTTTATGTTTCGATGATGCTATTCAGAGCATCCTGATCGCCATGTTGTTATTCGGAGCATGTGGTTTTGTTTCTGTTACAGTGATGCTATTCAGAGCATCTTGATTGTCATGTTGTTGTTCGAAACCTGTGGTTCTGTTTCTGTGACAACAAAATTTCCAGTATCATCCTTCTTGATAGTCACTTGGTTTTGCCGCTTCCTTCTGTGCGGACTTGTGGCGAGTGATCAGTTATTTTGTTGGACACTTGGTTCGACGGACTAGACGACTTTGGCCAGAACTTTTGTTATCTCCAGCTTATCACCATCGACGTTTCACGAGGCATTGGACATGGTCTTCATCGACATCGACATATTTGGCGGAGCAGTTATGTTTTTCATTATTTTTTTTTTCATATTGTTCGTAGTAATTTGTGTCGGTTTTGTTTCGGTTTTCAAATTGTTGGTAAGTAATTACTGTAACACTTTAGGCGAATCCCACACCGACAAAGCACGGGAGAGATCCATGGTTCATAACTAAGAAACCGGCATTAACTGACAAGACGCATTTTGGGGTGAAATGGAGGAGTTCTTGTAAGAACTCCGAAGTTAAACGTGCTCAGTGTGGAGTACAACAAGGATGGGTGACCTTATGGGAAGTCACCTTGAATTGCACCCCAAGTCGAAAACCGTGAGGGTTGAGGCCAAAGCGGACAATATCTTCGCCGGGATAAGTTTCAGGATGTTACAATTACAATCAATTTGGGGAGGGTATTAGAATATGTGTAGTACGAGTAGTATTATGTTATACTACGAGTACTGGTATGTAATTGGGCAGAGTTTCGTATATGTGTTAGGTTTATTATAGACATCCTCTGTACTCTATATAAACCCTATGTGATTTCAGTAATAAGACACAACAATTTCCACCGTATTCTGATTTCCTAACAGCAATTCACCTAAGATGCAACGTATGCTTTTAAAACAAGGAATCTATTGATCACACTGTCCGATTCATGTTTCGGAGCTGTGCTTCAAGGAGTAAAGTTTTCATCTTTCTACTCGTAAGTACTAGCTAGGACGATGGTTGGGGAGCTATTTCACTTGTTTGTTTCGAGAATAAGAGAGGCAAAATTGAATCTTACATCATATATATCCAGATGAAACCTTTGGACTTAGTATGGCGGGTGATGATGATGATCTTCATCATGACCTTCAACATCATAATCACTATAACTACCATAGGAAGGAACAGTTACATCAGTTTCGTAACCATGATTCTCAAGCTGAGGATCATCATCATCATCATAGTAAAAATCATGATCATCACCAGACTCGTAACTGTAGAAGTTATCTTCACTCTGCCTGCCAGATGGACGCTGAGAGTGAGAGCCCACAACTACCCGCAGCTCAACGATCTCATCATGAGCATTATCAGGCGAAGCTCCACTAGCATTCGTTTGAGCAGGTGAACTCAATGCATCATCCATCTGGTTATGCCACAGTGACGCTTCTGCTAGTGCTAACTGATGTTCCTCCAATCTCCTGCTGCCGCCGCCGCCGTGCCTCTTGCTGTTGCCCTTTTCTGTTCGCTTGCTTGATCCAAAAGATTTCTTCTGCGGTCTCCTGCCGCTGCTCCCTCTGGAACTGGAGGTTTTGACTGTGGCCGTCTCACTCTCGAATTGACTGAAGGGACTCCTCCTTGCTTTTACCCTTCTTTGCCATCCGTGGAGTGATCTCCACACATTCTCTGAAACCACTGTCCTTTTGAACCTTCCACCCATCTGCAGTCAGAAGCAGATGATGATGATGCCAGAGTTAAGAGGTCATGAGATGGCAGAGAAAGATGAGAGTGTTTGAAAATAATTATTCAATATGAATATTATTATTTTTTTCTATGTCTCGTTTTATTATTGGAATCACATAAGATTTCAATAGAGCATAATGATTACTTCTACGATAACTCTAGTACTATAAAAACATATGTTTAACTACTTTAATAAGCCTAACTAACATTATGTCCGGTTGGTTTATTCAATGGATCTGGAAATCGGGACTTCAGAGATAGAGGACAAGTGGCTTTTTTCGGTTTGATTTCAGTTTCCAGGGGCTTTATTTTATTTTATTTTTTGTTTAACTTAGTTGGAGCATTTTGGATTTGCTTCAATTGTTATTGCTCGTGTCGTCTATTCTTTGTGAATTCGAAAATCTGACTGATTTGTGTTTGATTTTGTGGGCACTTTTTTTATAGGAGATGCAAACATGTCAATTGCTCTTGCGGTTAGCTTTTGCTTAATCAAAACAGTTAGTTTCAAAATATAGCTAACTATCGTCGTTTAGAGTAGAATAGTTACATATCGTTTGGTATAAATGAATTTCATAAGTTTTGATGAATTTATTTTGAAATGAAACATTTTTGTGTTTGGTATTTAGAAGAATTCATTTTCAATTCTAAATTTTGAAATCTATGGAATTGGTACTAGTTATAGCAATTCTGAGGAATTGAGATGAAATTTTCAAATGAATTCCACAACTATTTACTAATTATAATAGAATAACATAATTATCCTCTTTATTAACTAAATTACTTATATATATGACGTACCAAACACGGGAATTCATTTGACAATGAATTTTACACGACAATTCATTTATTTCTAAAAATTTGAATATGACATACCAAACACAAAATTTCATTTGACAATGAATTCTATACGATAATTCGTTTTACAATTAAATAAATTTTTGATTCATTTGATACCAAATGGTATGTAAGAAATGATTTAGACAGGGAGACCTCCCACAATGCAAGTTCTTAAGAGTTAAGATTGACTCTTTTTTTTTTTTTTGGGAAGACTTTATTGACTGCGGTGACTAAATTTTACGGAGGATGCAACGAGATGATAATTTGAAAATAAAATAATATAATGCTATCTACTAAGAACTACGTATTAGAAAAAATATCCTGAAAATTTTGATGTAAAATGCATAAATATTTTAATATAAAATCCTTTTATTTTCTTGTATCAAGCAAGATTCTTCATTATCTAAATAAAATGTAACTATAGTATTAGTAGTAAATAATTATGTCTCTAAAATAAGAAAGTAGGACAATAAAATATAAATTTGAAAGTGAAATTAGCGACAAAACTATTTGTTGCAAATTCATTAATTAGAAGCAAATAGCATTTGTAGCTAACATCTGTTGCTAAAGAGTTTTTAGTGACAACAGTATCGACACCACATTGTTATGTGCTACTGTAGAGTTATCGTGTCGCATAAGTCACTTATTGTGACACATACACTTAGCTACTAAAATTCATTTTTCTTGTAGTGAATCTCAACTATTAGGTCTAGTATAGACTTGTATTGAAAATACTCCATGTTTCATTGTTTCATGCCATATTTTGCAATGAATAATTTTCATAATCTAAAATACTCCATTTTATTGAAGATATCAGTGACTTGTATATTTATGTACACTAGAAAATTGGCCCGCACTTCGTGGCGGGTCCTAAAAAATGAATCAACCAATTCGTGGCCAAAAAAGTTATATTGTCTCAAATCGAGGTGAATGTCTTTAGTGGTATGAGAGCAATAATGTATTAACTAAAAACGTATGTATTTCGGATTGGAAATGATTTTGGAGGACCCATTGAGTACGGGTAGGGTACGGGTAATTTTATATGAGTTTGAAGGTTTGTATATGGGTTTGGGTAAGGTATATGGATATTTCCACTATAATCTAAACGGGTATGAGTTAAGTATGGATACTCATTTATATGAGTTTGAAGGTTTGTATATGGGTTTGTTGCGTAAGTACTGTCATTTTGTAATCTTTATGTAGTGTCTTTCTATCTTGTGTAACATGGTAACCTGTGTAAAATCACATTACATAATATTTACATTGCTAATAATTTTTTTTTTGTAATGATAATTATACCATGTTACGTAAAACGCCAAGTGATTACGCGAGTCTTACACAAACGTATAATTTAATTGTTATGTAAGAAATAGTTATTATGTCATCTTTATGTAATGTGCTTGTATCTTACGTAACAGTTGTAAAATGACATTAGTTTATGGTCACCCATAGTATTTATATGTTTTATTCATTTTAATGATTTCACTATATTTAAAAAAAAACATAAACCTGTAATATGAATACAATCAACCTTGAAACAATGTCTTGCTTCTCTAATTTAATCCGGGATAGAAAAAGCATTAATTGACTGCTCACCATTGGCTCCGACTGGTCTATCTACCCAGCCTCCATCTCGAATCTCTTGGGTGGATGAGAAACTTTCGGGAGAAAAAGAAATAGGCAGGGGCGCAGGGCAAGTAATTAAAATTGAGCTATAGTATACCAGCCCGTGTCTAACTAAACCCCTAATGCAAAACAGGCGCTATTTATATATTAATTAATTATCATATCCATTATTTATTTAATTTATGTTCTGACGGCAAGTTGGAGAGACTATAGAGGGTCATGAACTCAGGTTGTGAGTGGAGACGATCCTCGGCTAAATAATTAATTAACATGTTTGAACCAATAACATGTGGCCACGTCTATGGGTAGCAGCGCAGAGCTGCAACCCAGACAACAGCCAAGTATTGCCCTATATTTGGGTATGTTGTACACCAGCAATCTTCACCGTCCACGTCCATCTCAACAACCAGCATTAATGCAGGGTTTTTTTTTTGTGGGATTAAAAAATAAATTACCTCATTTATGTTGGCAGTTGAGATGGACACGGACGGTGAAGATTGTCTGGTGTGCGATAGAACCATCCATGTGTGTGTATGGGTTGATAATAGTTAACTTATAGGGCAAGAAATAGTTAAACTGAAACCAATAAGGAATAGTAGACTAGGTGTGTACATCACCTGAGTGACTATTATGTATAGTGGGAATGTGATGAAGCTGCACCAGATTTGTGAAACCACCCTGGAATCATTTAATAACATGTGGAGAGGAAATGTCAATCCTTAGAACCTCTGTTACCAACCTTTACACCCATTTTTGGCATAGTTGAGCCTGTGAGTTGAGGTGGAAAATGTACCCGGCTACTAGACGGATGATGACGAAGCTCTTACTTGACATGAAACATGAAGTGCCTCTAACTTCCCACTGACATTCAAAAGGGCCAGAGTTAGTTTTGTGATACGAGGAAGAAAGGATTGAAAGCACAAGGCTGAAAAATCATACCAAGGACCACAAGAATGTTGCCATCTCAAATGCATTCTGCACAGAAAGAAGATTCAAGAATGACATTTTGTTTTCAAGAGAGTGGACTAGGCAAATATATACTCATGGGCCTCCTTTTGCTCTTTTTGATTTTTATACCTGGAATGAGACTAACTGTATCAACCTAAGAAGCAATCTAGGCTTCCCAAACCAAAACAGCTCATCTCTTAGGTTGAACTTGTGATGCCCTGAGCTCTGGCACGCATCTCTAATTTCAACAGCCAATGCCACCACTATTCGATGCAGCTTCGTGCCAATCAGCAGTACTAGCTTTGGTAGAACCAGCAGTGAGTTGGTAGATAGGAAGCTAATATGTGGTGAAAGAAATTTTCATGAGCAAACAAGCTGCCAAAATATGTTTGAGGTACTTACAATGACTGGAAGAAAGGAGAGCCAAAAGTATATTTCCGTTCCTGTACAAAAACAAAGCCACAAGCTCTCATGAATGACAAAGCTAACTACTTGGTGCACAAGAATCGCGTTCGAGTCAGTATAAGTGTATAACATTATTCACCGTGGAAGTCCAGGAAGATGCAGAATATGGCATACAACCAAAGAGGTAGACTGCAAAAAATAAAGGCAGGAAAACCAAAGATTGTATTTGTTTAGCTGTTAAGGAAGCTTCCCCTAACAGAAGCAAATTGATAGGAAGCATTAGTTTAGTTACCTAATGCCAACAATTTCAGAGAACTCTTCTTCCATGTTTCTCAGCATGTAGTTATGGAAATCATACACCAAAGGTAGTTGGTGTGTCTAATCAATGGCAAACTTACAGTCAAAATTGCTACGAGCGTGAATTGATGAAAGAGCATAGCAGAACTGCCAAGACGTCAGCAAACATACCGTGATGAACCCTAGACGAAGAGCCATGTAATCAGCATTGGTTATGGAAGTCCAGAATTGGCGACTGAAACAAAGCTGGCAACTCTATCCACATTAGCTCAAAGTTACAGCAACTGCTAACTTTAAAGAGGTCAAGAAGCCTAAAGGTTACCAGCCAAACAAGGGCTTTGTGCTCACTCCATGGATGGGATGCATGGTGAAGAATGAAGGTAGATATTCTTCCCATTTTCCTTTTGTGAGAAGAAGCTTCAAATGAATCTGACCAAAATAAGAAGGAACCAGAAACAGGAAATCCAAGTAATTATTGGATCATCTGAAAATCATCAACTCCAGAAAACACTGGAACTCTACAATAGTATGCCCCCTACCATCAAAACTCTGGAGCGCCAAGGTTTTTGCCCGGTTTTCCCAACTTCTCCAGCTGTAAATCTGCATCAGACCCGGAAACTAATGAAATTTTTTTTTTCAACTGGTGATAAATAAAATAGAAATGCCAAGCTTCAGACATTTGTTAACCTTGATCATCCCTAGGGCAATTGCTGCGAAGCTGTAGGAAACGTGGGTCACAGGAAGAACAAACATCAAGCGGTGAAGCTGCTCGAGACTGTCATGTGAAGCGAACGATTCATGGCCCTTGTAACAAAGGAGGAGGCCAAGAACACACACACACACAAAAAAAAACTCAAAACCAATTGTAGATCTGTCTGTATCGATGCATCAAATGGATAAAAATGCAGAAGAGTTGCTTGAAGCCCAAACCACATACTGGTGGACAGTTTCCTTTATTGTAACTGGAGTCCATCTCATCCCTAGCAACTGTATTGTTGAAATAATAGTGTGAAACTGAAGCAACCGTGGGCTGAAATGTTGAAGCTGATCTGTTTGGGTCACAGAAGTAGAAGCGGCTGTTCAAATACGAAGATTTCACGCAAATCTTAGCCACTAGAGAGAGCCAGTGACCCATGAGCAACGAAATTAGCCCGAAAAGCATCAGCTCTGCAAAGACCGCATTAAAAAAAAACATAGATAGAAGAACCCATTTGAGTGAAAACCCAGGTGAAACCGATTCGAACAATTCTAATTTGATTACCGTCTTTGATCTTGTATAGAGCTGACAACAGAGCCTTCCTCTTGGTTTTGTGCAGAAACTAACACATGGGGGCAGAAAAGATTGCAAGTTTAGGCGAGAAAGAACAATGGGGTGAAGGACATTTCCAGTTTAAGTGATTGAGTTGTCTGCTACCTGTCCAGAGAGCTTGAGAAGGCCCTGAGAGCAGAAACCGAAAGCAACCATTACAGTGACTACAGTGGCAACAGCCCAAGTAGGGGTTAGAGCCAGCCCCATTTCTCCAGACTCCGCCATCTTCCCTTTGCCCAGCTCGGAAGAGCAAACTTGTTAAGTCGGAGAACAGTAGCAGTCCTCTGTGAATATACCAATATGGATGCACAAGTAATAAATGCCACTACCAGTTTCCTGCTTGGGTAGTTGGGTTCTAAACCCCTTGGATTTATATCAAAATGGGACAGAGATCGAAAATTTCCAAATCCTTGCTTAGCATTTGAAAGGGGGGAAAACAAGAAACCGTTGCCATGGACGAAATGACCTAGGTGGATTACGTGCTCCATGGATTTTCTCTTATTTCCTTGAACAAGGGGAACTGCTTTGTTTAATTTGATTTGGTATTGGATGTTCCGTCAATGACAGATTTGGGACATGATAATTGACAAGTTGCAAACACCCTGGTCAAGAGTGAAAAGAAGACCAAATGGACGCGGGGGAAATGGGACGTGATTCCAACTAATTCATCCGGTACCAGCTCCGGGGACCGGGAGTCCGGATCTGGTGACTAAGGGGGTGCTTAGTCAAGTGGCTAAGCTCCCCTCAGCCCTTAGATTAGAATGGGTAGATCTAATGGTCCAGATGAAGGAAGGGTTAGCAATTAATCAGAGGGGTAGTTTTGGCATTTAAAAAAATAATTAAATCCTGATTTCCATTTTATTTATTTTTTCTTTTTTCCCCTCTCCAATTCTCTCCAACCGTCTTCACCAAAAAAAAAAATTTCTCTCCAACCGTCTCCTTCTTTCACGTTCACAGAGAGAGAGAGAGAGGATAGAGATGCGCGGCGACGGTGAGAGAAGCGCCGACGGCGACGATGGAGAGAGAAAGAAGATATCGACGGCGTTGATGGAGAGAGGAAAAGGCGTCGCGACGGAGGCGGTAGCATTTGAGAGAGAGAAAGTAGATCTAGAGAGAGGCGATGGCGGAGAGAGAGAGAGGCGATGGCGGAGAGAGAGAGAGGCAGTGGCGGAGAGAGCTTCGACGACGATGGAGGAGAGAGAAGCGGCGCGGTGATGGAGAGAGAGAGGTAACGACGGCTGTAGAGAGAGTCGACGGCGGCGGTGGCAGCGGCGGCGGCGGCGGCGACCCGTATACGTCGTCTGAAGGAAGAACAGTGATTTGTATAGTTTGTATGTTTTGTAACATTAGTTTGTATTGTTAGTATTTTTGTACAAAATGTCAGTATGGTTTGTATGTTTTTCTTTGACAGTTTGTACTCTTAGTATGTTTTTCTTTGACAGTTTGTACTCTTAGTATGTTTTTCTTTGACAGTATGGTTTGTATGTTTTTCTTTGACAGTTTGTACTCTTAGTATGTTTTTCTTTGACAGTTTGTACTCTTAGTATGTTTTTCTTTGACAGTTTGTATTCTTAGTATGTTTTGCTTGTATTCTTAGTATGTTTCGCTTTGTATTGTAAGTACTAATAATTTGTATACTTTATATGTATTGATTTGTGATGCAAAAAACATTACAAACATGGTTGACAAAAATGACAAACATGTGGACAAAAATAACAAACATTACAAACAATACAAAAGAAACCAACAAACATTACAAACATTACAAAATAACAAACATTACAAACATTGCAAACAAACATTACAAACATTACAAACAAACATTACAAACAGTACAAAGCATACTACACGTACAGAATATCACTACTTACAATACAGATTGGTAAACTTGTATTACAAACAAATGAATACAAAGTATACAAATCATAACATAAAAGTATACAAACTTGAATAACAAAAGTTACAAATACAAATCAATGAATAGAAAGTGTATAAATCATAACATAAAGTATACAAACTAGACAAACAAACATTACAAACATTACAATGTATACAAAATAGTAATATAAACATTACAAACATTACAAACATTTCAAGCAAACATTACAAACAGTACAAAGCATACTACACGTACAAATATCACTACTTACAATACAGATTGGTAAACTTGTATTACAAACAAATGAATACAAAGTATACAAATCATAACATAAAAGTATACAAACTTGAATAACAAAAGTTACAAATACAAATCAATGAATAGAAAGTGTATAAAGCATAACATAAAGTATACAAACTAGACAAACAAACATTACTAACATTACAAACATTACAATGTATACAAAATAGTAATATAAACATTACAAACATCACGAACTCAAATATTGTTGCCGGAAAACCATCCACCACCGTTTTTGGTCGCCGGAAAACTGCTCCGCCGTCGCCGGAAAAGCTCTCTCTCTCTCTCTCTCTCTCTCTCTCTCTCTCCTGGGACGAGAATCTCTCTCTCGTTCACTCACCTGGGACAATTCTCTCCTGCCAAAAAAATAAATGTACAGCAACATGAATATAAATGGACAGAGATTATAAATGGACAGAGGACAGAGGAGACGCCACCGGTGGCAGAGTCAGAGTCGCCGAGAAATTTTGCCGGCCGGGGCAACCGCGGAAGTCGGTAAAGGCAACAACCGTCAAATTTAATTTTCTTTTGTTTATTATATAAATTAATAAATTAAATAACCATGCAATTACTATATTGTCCTTTATTAAATTGGATTAATATGGGCCATTGGATTTTAATGAGGTGCAAGGGTGGAGATTGACTTAGTCATGTGACTAAGGGACCGCCCCTTAGTCACCTGATCTTAGCCCGGGGACCGGATTGTTGTTGTTGATTTTTTATTTATTTATTTATATATAAATTAATAAATTATATAATAATAATAATAATATAATAGCTCAAAACACCTTGGACTGTACATTCAGATTGGTTTTACTATTCATATACAGACTCAATTTCCCTGTTCACCGAGTTCTGATTGGTTGTTCCTTGGCGTGGGCCCCGATTTGGGCTCTGCAATTTCTGTGAGACTGTTGTTTTGCTTCGTCTGATATCTTTGGGGAGGCTTGGGTCTGACGCGAAACCCTTAGCTGGAGGAGGTTGAGAGTAAAATCGCGTTGGTCACAAGTCGGCTGACTGGACACGTTAAGGCCATAAAGTACTTTGGGATTCTGATGGAATGTATCTGTCTGCTCTATTTTGATTTCTTTGGCTTGCTTTGATTGGGGCCCAGTTCTCTATGCGTTGATCGCCGTGAGGTTTTGGTGAGGCGAGAAGAGAGGTGATCTCGCGCACTGGGTGAGCCAGTGAGGGAAGCATAGATATTTTGTAGCATGCTTGGCGAGTAAGAAGCCACGTTGCTATTTGATTTTGGTCCATCCATTTTATATAACCGGCGCCATTCTCTATGCCTACTTTTCTCTCTAATTGGTTTACGTCACCACTCATCAGAGTTGCCTCTCAGTGGGAGAGAGAAGATAGAGAAAGGGTTTTATCAGCTTCTTCATTCATTGCTTTTGAACGACTCTCACTTTATCATTCCTCCTCCTCTCATTTCTTCTCTCTGTTATGCTTTCTCTTATCATTGTTGATTATGTTCTTCTGGTTTTTTAAACGGTGCGAGGATCAAAGCATCAATGGCAGATTGCATAAGTCTGGGAAGGGTTCTGAGGAGAGCCAAGATCCGTTTGATTTGAGGTGATTATGAGAAGTAAAATTGATCAATGTTGACAATAATTGTTATCTGCCTATCTCGATGTGAATGGTTATGCTATTTGATTTTGACGATTTTTCTTTGGTTTTTGTGCTTTTAAGCTTTGGGGTTGAGGTTCTGATAGCTTCCGGATAGTTGTGTTCTTTGAAAAGTGGTGGATTGTTCTGATGGGAACCCACAAAAATTGCTACGCTTCCATTGGATTTGCACGTTCCTTGGGTCATTCTCTTATTTTATGGAAATGAGCAACTCATTCTCTTCATTATCTTTGTTGGGAAACTCAGCTGTAACTCTGATTCTCTTCCATCATAAGGCCCCCTTTTAGTAAGTCGTTCTCAAACAGTTAATACTATTTCACTATGAATTCTCTCTCCATTCCATTCCAGATCTACTCGGCAATTTTTTTTTAAATCAAAGATCCATTCAGTAGTATATTATGAATCAGTGTTCTTTTTCTATCTTTCAGATTTGTTGCGGGCGGAGTCTCGGGTCGGATCAATCGATTGAGGTACCGATCTCTTGCTTTCTTGGTGACTTTTTCTATCACGTCCGATTTTGTTTGAGTGCTCCGATTTTGTTTGAGTGCTCCGAACCAATCGTTGTGTGCAGGGGACTCAAGTCCGGCTAGCGATTGATGGCCATTCTGATTGTCAGCCCATTTTTTACGTGCTCGGTATATTTGTTTCAAGTGGCCTCAGGAAAGTTTTTGATTGGAATCGAATTTTTTTCTCTCTTCGATTGTGTAGGATGGTTGTTGTGCTTGAAAAGCAGTTTCTATATATTTTGATCGATTGTTCCTATTTTGATTTGTTCCTTAAGCTAACACTTCGAATATCTCGATGCATGCTGATGCTTAGTAAGTATTGTATTGTATTGCATTGCATTGCATTGCATTTTTAACTTCTGGGATTTTCCCCCTGCCATCTGTAATTTTAATTTCTATTTTTGAAGACTGCTCATGTTGTGGCCTTTAATGGATATTTGTGATTGGAGGGTTTAGAGAAGGTAGCCTTACGCTTAGAGATAGGGGTGGAAATCGGTACGGTATCGGTATCTCAATACCAAATACCGAAATCCCGAATACCGAATTACACCCTAAAGTCAATCCCAATCCCAATCCCTAAATAATTTCGGTATCCCAATCCCAATCCCTAAATATTTCGGTATCCCAATCGGTACTTCGGTATCCCAATCGGTATTATCGAATACGAAATTAATTACCTTTGCAATTAATAATTAAATATATAAATTAGATTTTATTGTTTAATTTACGGGAAAAAGACTAAGCAAAGAGTTTTGAATTAGAATAATATTAAGGAGAGTGGAGGAGAGGAGACATCTCAAGTTTTTGTTATTGGTCATCTTTAATTTGACGAATTAGAGGTTGAGAGACGACTATTAATAGTGATGGAATGATCTGTGTATAATTAAATGACACTTTTGGTGGTTGAGGGTCATTTAGTAGTAAATGAGAGAGTCTAGTTGAGAGGATAAAATACAAACTCGCTTATATTTCGGTATTGATCGGTATTTCGGTATATCCCGATCCCAATCCCGTAATCCCTAATA